CTTAGTGGCTTATGTCAACACAAGTTTATTTTCTCACAGTTTCCATGGGTCAAGAGTCTGGATACAAGTTAGATGGGTCCTCTGTTCAGGCTGTCACCAGGCTGAAATCAAGGTGTCAGCCAAGACTCGAAATCCCCTTGCAAGTTCTCTGGTTGTTGGCAGATTCATTTCTGTGTGGTTGTAGGACTGAGGTTCCTGTTTTCTTGCTAGTTGTTGGCTGGGGACTTCTCTCAGGGCCTAGAGGCCACCCACCACTCGCAACATGGCAGTTTTCTGTCTTCCAGGACAGCAGGAGAAGGGCCCTTGGACTGGCCACCTTCTTTTAAAGAATCCTCTGATTAGATCAGGCCCGTCCAGGCTAGCCTGCCTTTTGGTTAACTCAAAGTCCCCTGATCAGTTACTCCATTATAGGAGTGATGTCCCATCATATTCACAGTTCCGTTCTACCCATACCCAATTCCGGAAAGTAGGGGTTTTTTCAGGGCTTAGACGTCAGGGAGCTGCAATTTTGGGGGCTGGCTTAGAATACTACCTACCACATTCAGATTTTCTAATGTATGGCCAGGGTAAATGAACATTAGGCAAAACTTTCATTTAAACCAAGTCTGTATCTTTTTAGCCCAAAGGAATAAATTTCCAAAAGGATTTTTTTGTATTTTGTTGGGGGAAGTTGCAGTGAGGAAGGAGGAAAATGAGAAGGGCCCTTTCCAAACTAAGAAAGAATTACTTAGAAATACAAATGTCATCTTTAGCAGATTTCCCCAAAACAGGGAACTCAATATTTTAGTAGCAACCAGTGTTTTAGTGTTGAATTTTTTTTCCAAGCAATATAGTCGTCATTAAAATTCTTAAAAACAAACAAGAAAAATTCTCCAGATTCAAGTTTCATAGTTTTACTGTATCCATGAACACAGTTCAGATCTAGTTATCAACTTATAGGGATAAAAGCCCCAAAGGGGCTGGGTGTGGTGGCTTATACCTGTAATCCTAGCACTTTAGGAGGCTGAGGCAGGAGGATCGCTTGAGCCCAGGAGTTTGAGGTTGCAGTGAGCTGTGATGATGCCACTGCATTCTAGCCTGGGCAACAGAGCGACAACATGTCTCAGACAGACAAACAAATAAAAAACCCAAGCAAACAAAAAACAAATCCAAAAGTCTTGATAATTTTATGACTAAATATTTTGAGTTAATAAAGGGGGAGATGGGAGCTATTTTCACTAGTGTGAGTCATCAATTAAGTAAAGAATAATTTATTGTCAAAACAGTTTGGCTTTATTACACAAAATGAAATCATGTAATTTCTGGCATTTTTCCCTTTGATTTTGTTTGATGTAGAATTATTTCCCACTCATCCCAAATATCCCTTAGAGTTTTAGGGTGAATTCTTTATAAGCTCCTTCAGACTTTTAATAAGTCAAAAACATCTCAGTGGGACTCCTGGATCTGGCTCCATTTCAGCAGAAAAATTTGAGCTTCTGTGTACTGGGGCTAAGTTCAGATTGGTTACAAATTCTGAAACTGTGGTTTTGGCTGTGGTTTCAGGCTGGAGTGCTAGCATTTGATTGGGTCATTGTACAAATTCTTCTAGGCTCAAGGTTGCCGAATCTGATCTAGTGTCTTAATGGAAGACAGTACACCAGGAATTTGATTCTGCTCATAATTCTGCCATTCTTTCTGACTCTCACCATATTCTAGTTTTTAGTACTTAGTACATAGTATTTCAGTGAAGTTGCTGAATGTGGTCTCCCATTCCAGTACTTACAGCCTCCAAAGCTTCCAACATAGATGAAAAAATGGAAAACTTGGGATATAAATGAGAATTATGCCTCTGTGTTAATATTATTTTCTTTCTTCTACCCATTGTTTCTTATCTTCCTCTCTGTCTCCCTCTCAAACTGCTTTAAAAACAACATCAATAGACAAAGAACAGAGAAAAGAAGTAACTTGCTCAGTTTCAAGAATCCAGGCTTGGACAGAGCCACAGATAGAATTTGTGTTCCCTAAGTCCCTAGACCTTCACCGAGACAAATGCTAATGATAACAGCTGTGCTGCAGCTTCCTGGAGGATTTGAAGTTTGGCTACATCTTTAGGGATTCAGATTTTTTTTCTAAGCAAGATTTTCCGGTCCAAAGTTGTTAAAATTGAGGGAGTTAAGACATCTTTTTGAAGATGTGTGCCTTCCGTACTTTTCTTTCTTCCTCTTCCTTCCCCTTCTTTCTTTCTTTCTTTTCTTCCTTATTGGTGGCAAATATTTTATCTCTGTGGGAGTAACTTAGGTGATAAATGATTCTGATAAGGAATTCACCCACCCTTACAATGATCTAGCCATGCCCAGCTGTTTAATAATTATGTCTGTCCCATGATTAAGTTGTTTCAGTGACATTTGCATTGCTTTCCATAGGTAAATATTTATTTTCAATAGGTAAATGTCTGGGGTGAATTAGTCCTTACTGTACTGCTGTGTGGTGCTAGTGAGCTGGCTTTTAAGCTGGTCAGTACATGGTCAACTAGGATATGCAGCCTTAGGATGAGAAATGTGTTAAGTGACTCCAACATCAGAAGGACATATGTTTTCCAGTTTGTCTTGGGCCTCAGAAAGGCAATGAAGGCATTTTCTGCAGCTGCTCTTGTATATTAAATAACTCTACTTTCTTTGCCCTTTGGATGAAGTGACCCCAGTTCAGCGGCAGAGATATGAAAAGATTCTCATTACTAGCCTAGTGTGAATTTGAGGAAAAGTACATGGCTCATTTATTTGCCATTTAAAAATTTACAGCCAAATCAGTGCAATATTGTACTCATATCTCAAAAAGCTTTGCCACCAACTAGATTTTTTTTTCTTTTAAAGTAGGCAAATTAAGCTCTTAAATTCAGACAAATCTCTTTCTGTCTACTCAAAACCTTCTGAAGAGCTTCATGATGTCAATGATGTGAGAAATTTAACTGAGTTAAGTGCTTCATATTAAAGGTAAGTTTTGAATTCCCCTTGAAGTAATGCTTTTACAGAGTCCTCATCACAATTTCAGAGTTTGTGGCATTACCAAAGAGTCACAGGATCATAACAGAGAATGGATAAATCAATAAGGCTCTCATGCCCAAGGCATTCTATTTTATCTTAGTTGATTGCTTTCTTCTAAAAAATAAAGCCCCCCAAAGTCTGTATTCTTCAAAGTACTACGTCGTGCTGAAATATTGCTTTTCGAGACTAAAATTTCCTGTTCTTGCCACTGTTTAAATCCTGTGGTTCATAGTAATATAGATTATTGATTTCAAATGATGTACAATCTCTATGTCAAGGAACCACTTGTAAAGTTGAGGTATACTGGATAAGAACTTAGACTAAGTGGGGAAATAGACAACAAGCAGTTAAACCCTAGGACACAAACCAAATCTCACAATCCTTATAATTATATCCCATAACTTTAGGTCAAATGTCAGAATCATGTGACAATGCTGTGGGCCTTTCCTCTCTCAGGGCTACCAGTCACTTTTCCTAAATCTTCATACCCAAAGAGGATGATCTTCTCAGACTAGATGGTTCTCCAGCCAAATGTATGTGCTTTTTTGCAGGATCCACCAAATAAGTAATACTGAAGTGAGAAATTCAATCTCTTAGCTCCAACAGAGTCTTTCTGAATAAGTGCAATGGAATAGACATGCAACCCAGACAAAACAGTTTGTGCTCCTTTTCTGTTGTGCAATTATATGTTTGTGTATGAAAGATTTCATGTTTATATAAAAAAAGATTCTCCTGATTTAGTGACAATAGGACCTGTATTTTTGGTATCTTCAGCATACTCTGATTCAAGCTGTCCTTATGTAACAAGCATTTACTCAGAACCTACTAAGAGTCTGGCACCACGTTGAGTGCTTAATGAACAGTCCTCACTTTTGGAACTCCATGTAGTATAGCAACAGCTGTACTAGCAGTTAGTTGTAACGTGACATTGCGAGTGCTACACTAAAGAGATACAGGTACAAATAACAAAAATGCTAAAGGAGTCAAATGAGTCAAGGTTGCGTTCATATGCGAAGGACAGAAAAATCCAAGTTAATTTCTTTCTCACATAAACAAGTTTTGGAGGTAGGCAGTCCAAGCTGCCTGATGACTCGGCTGTCATCAGGAACTCAGGTTCCCTCTATCTAGATATTCTGCCATCATCAACACTTGACTTCCATCTCATGTTCTAAAATGGCTATTCAAGTATCAGCCACCAAATCCATATTCTAGCAAGCAGAAAGAGGAGAACATTGAGGAATGGCATCCTAGAAGCAGCACAGAACTTTTGTCTATATCTGTTCACCAAACCTTGATCCTATGGCTCGGCCATACCTGATGGCAAGAGAGGGTGATACAATCTTTATTCTCGAAAGTCATGTGCTGGCTACAAACTGGAAGTTCACTGACCAAGTAGAAAGAGGGCTGTTATGAGAATAACTTTTTTTTTTTTTCCCCGCCCCAGGAGTTCAGACAAGGGAGAGAAAAATCGTATCTGGAAAGGAAGAACATATCTGGAAGGCTTCCTGGAGGAGGTAACATTTAAGCTAGATCTCCAAGGAAGAGTAGGAATATATTGAATATAGAATCAGGGAAAGCATGATATATATAGGCAGAGGGAACAGTATCAGAGTTTGCTTTCAGAGACCGGCCAGCCTGAGTAAGGAATATAATCAGGTCTGTTTTATGCTGACTGAGGAATTAAAGGAAACACTGCACAATGTTCTCAATATCTGAGCTATTTTGTCTAATCACACGCATCTAGCTGCTAAAGACTGAATTATCACATCATGCTCACAGAAGAGAAACATAATTAGAAAATATATCTATTGAAATTATTCTCTATGTACATTAAATTGGATAATCACGTGTTAAATTAGGAAAGATATTCAGGAAGTTAATTAATCCTGGATTCTGATTGTGACATGTAACAAGTGTGAAATAACCATCTCTAAGACCATTTATACACATGTTCATTTACTAATAGGCATCCCAATAGCATAACATCTTGCTTAAAACAAAGAAACAATTAGTCCTGAAACAGAAAAGCACACGACACAGGATAGGCTGTATACCATAGTGATAGTAACAGCAACAGCATATACTTATTAAACACTTAACATGTGCTAGGCATTCTTGGCACATAGGGACTTATTTGATCTTCACAAAAACACTATGAACTCGGTTTCTATTACTCTCTCCATTTTCACAGAGGAGGAACTGAGGCTCAAAGAGGTTAAGTAACTCGCTCCAAGTCCCACGGCTGATGTGTAGGGAAGCAAACACAAACTCATGTGGCCTGCCTCCCTCTCCGTGCTGCTAGGTCATAAAAGGGGACAGGTTATGGGATGGATCCCAGCTCCATGACTATCTGACAGTAAGATTCTGGGGGAAGTTATTTCATCCTTCTGTATCTTACTTTCTCAGTTACTGGGATTGAATAAGAAACTGTATGTCAGAGATTTCACCAGGGAACTGGCACAAGGTAAATTTTGCTCAATAGTTAAAAGGTTTAATGAGATTGAGTCATTAATTGTAAACACTAGCCAATGTTTCGTCCTTAACTATACAAACCAAAAAGCAGATCAAAACCTATTTCTGACATGGTGTTAAATTCTCTTCCAAAAGAGCAAAATCTCTCTTTCTTCTAGCCTAATCCCCTGAGGTCTGTCTCTCTGCTAGTTCTTGAGTTTGAGCTGCTTTTTCAGCCATCTGTTACAGTGTTGTGTAACAACAAACAATGTCCTCCTAAAAATGTTTACAAATGCTTCTTATATTAGTGTTGTATATTTTTCATTAAGCTGTGGCATCTCCATTGAAAAATTATTTTAATCATTGCAAACTGAATTACACAAGGAGCAAGCATAAAGAGATAGTACTTAAAAGGCTGAATGTACATTAATTGCTTCAGCTAATGAAAGAAACATGACTTAGCCAATGCACACAACATGAATCCTAAGATGCACGGACAATTGACTATGGTAATAAAACAAGTATTAGTGTGTTAAATCTGAAATCCTCATTATGCTTCATGCAGCAAAACCGACTGTGTACCTGCTGTTCAGTGTGCATTTCCTCCTCTTGACACCAAGAGCTAATTATAGAACGGGGCATAGAGCGAAAGCATGTGACCTACGTTTGGGGACCTTCAAAAACCCTGCGAAGTTGTGTTTGGTGACTCTTTATTTTCTTTTTAAGATGATAGAAGAAAGCGTGGGTCAAAATGATTTTGGAATATTGTGATGTTCCATAGGCAATTTTAATTAAAATATGAATTATTTATATATGCACACAGTTTATTTCACTTACATTGGGATCTTGCTTTATCTCCCTTGGCTCTATAAGCTAGTAAATTATTAACTCAAGGATAATTTATGTCACAGTGTTCCAGATGCTGTCCATTGATTTCTTTGTCTGTCTTTTTATTTCATGAACCCTAAAGTAAAGGTGATGATAAAATCATGACATTTAAGAGATAAGAAGAGAAGTGAATGTCTTATTTTTACTGTTCATTTAGAATCACATAACATAGAGGTTATAGTAACTTATAAACAGATTGTATTAACGTAAAACCTCTATTCATACACTAAAAATACCAACTTATTAGGAACCTCACTAAAAGCTAATACACTACAAGCCCCACCCCCCTTTTTCTGAGAAACTTTGAGGGGTACCACCATTACTTCAAGGGATATGAAACAGCTGGCTTAATTCAAAGTAACTGCTTTTTTTAGATGAAAACCTTTCTTTTCTAGTAGAACTAGATCTGGAAGGCAAATCTTTTTCTTTTTTGTATTTTATCCTATATATCTTTTGGTAATTATTTTCTCAGTAAAGCCTTGGCTATGTTCAAAAGTATTTCCTTTACATTGCTTCTCAGATATATTATAGAAATTGATGTCTTTGGCACCAACTAGCCTCAAATTTTGAATGGACATAAGGGTTCTTACAGTGTTTTTTTTTATTAATGCTGGGAGAATTCTCTTTAATTGGTAATACTTGAAGAACTTAGTACAGGTCAGAGTTTAGGTGGTTTGTTTAAATGTTTCTACCTCTGAAGAAAATTGTACATTAGCTTCTTTCTTATTTCAACTAGTTTGTATGTAGTTTTATTCAGTCATTTTTATTTTCCTAGTTTATTTGTCAGAGTTCTTTGAAGGTGCTATTGGGAAGCCATCTGCAAAGTCAGGGCAACGAAGGCCATACCTCAACAGGGAGATTGTAAATTGAGTAGAAACTCCAGGATCTCAACAAGTGACATTTTGGGGAGTTTTCCCCTAGGGGTCGATTATGGAATAGAAGAAAATTTGGGAGAGAGGAGTGAGGAATACTGGGAAATGTCTTTATTCTACTCAATCTATGGTTCTGAATGCTAATGCACATCAGAACCACCCAAAGAACCTTTTATTCATTGATCTTTAAGACCTATTCCTCAAAGATTAATTACATTCCAGGAAGGTCCTGGAGATCTGTATCGCTGACATGTACCCCAAGGTATTTGGAGATTACCTGAAAAGAGTATAGAAACTGTTAAGAGGTGTTGACTTCCAAAAATTAAACAACTTTTACTCATTTAGTTATTCAACCAATATTTAGTTAGCTTTTAGGTCCTGCCCCTAATCTTAGCCCTCAAGGAGCATGGAGCCAAGGGAGGTAGACAGGAACATAGCCGATTTCAATTCAGCAAGATAACCTGCTATAAATGGGCAAGACTGGGGTGCTATGAGGTATATGGACAAGGATCATCTAATCCAGTCTAAGGTGTCATAAAGGGTTTGAAGAGGTACCTGAGCTGATATCTGAGCTGAAACCTGAGGGGTAAAGAATAGCGGGAGGAAGGAGGAGTTGAACAGCTTGTGTGTGTGTGTGTGTGTGTGTGTGTGTGTGTGTGTGTTTCAAGGAGGCTGTGGGTCATGAGGCTGGAGTAGGAGAAGGTGTGAGAAATGTTAAAAGACTTGTAAGACACATTTTCAGGTCTCAAGGAGCTTACAATATAAGTGGGGGGATAAATGATGGCAAAAGATGTTGGTAATAGATGATGAAGACAAGAGAAGTGACTTCCTGGGAAGCCTTTTGATCAATTACCAATTGAATAATGCTTGCCATGCTATAGGTTTTCTCTGGAGAAAGTATCTAATCTCTTCCAGCAATAAAATTCTGTGATCTACGATACTGTTCTGCAGTGGGAAGAGAAAGCTTCATAGAAGAGGTGGGGATCCCACTGGGTATTAAAGAATAGGTGGTCTTTTATAACTTTTTATTTTGTTATAATTTTAAACTTACAGAAAAGTTACAAGAATAGTATAGGAAATTACCTCATTCTTTATCCAGATTTACCAATTGTTTATATCTTGCCCCGTTTGCTTTTGTGCTCTATACACACACACACACACACACACACACACACACACACACACACACACACACATCACATACATAATTTTTTTTCTGAATCATTTGAGAGTAAGTTGGAGACATTATATAGTTTACTCCTACATACTTTAATGTATATTTCACAAGCAAAAGAACATTCTTACATATCACAGTAAAATAATCAAACTTCTTGTATAGTCAGAAGGAATACAATCTAGTGTTACACTATCGCACACTACGCTGTTTAGTAGTACAATAGGGTGACTAGAGTTAACAATTTATTGTATATTTCAAAATAACTAAAAGAAGTGATAAAGAAGTGACAAAGACGTGATAAGTGCTTTAAATGACAGATATCCCAATTACCTGATTTGATCATTATACATTGTATTCTTATATCAAAATATCACATGCACTCCATAAAATATACAATTATGTATCCATAATAGTTTAAAAAAAAGCAAAAATCACAAACTTATGGTATTTAACATTGATGCAATACTATCATCTAATCGACAGTGTGTAATCAAATTTTGTCATTTTGTCAAGTGTCTCCATGTTCTTTCTAGGCTTTTCTTTCCCAGTGTTAGTATCTAATTCAGATAAATGCATTGCATTTAGTTGTCTCTATCATTGTCCTCTCATTTAAAATGATTCTTTAACCATTTCTGTCTTTCTTAATCTTGGCAATTTTGAAGAGTAAAAGCCAGTTCTTTTCTAGGACATTCCTCAATTTGGGTTTGTCTAATGTTTCTTTTGGTTAGATTCAGGTTATATATTTTTGGGAAGAGAAGTTAGGTTTTGTCCTCCTCAGTGTATCACAGGTGGAAGCACAAGATGTAGGTTTGTCCCAATATTGATGATGATAATGTTGACGACTCAGTGGGGTGTCTTCTAGATTTTTCACCGTAATGTTATTAATTTTTCCCTTTGTAATTAATAAGAATTTTGTGAGAAATGTAAATATCATGTTCCTTAACCAAACTTTCATCTGACAGCTTAAATGTCCATTGATGATTGTTTAACCTATGACTGCTTCTATATTTATATTACTAAATCTATATCATTATAAGGAAGAGCTTTCTAGGCTTTACTATCTATTCATTCATTTATATATATCAGTATGGGCTCATGGATTTTATTTTTAAAAATGAGTTATAGCCCACTGTTGTCATTATTTCTTTTGATGTTCCAGTGGTCCCTGATTTTACCACTAGGAGTTTCTACAGCTGGTTTCTATGTCCTTTTAATAGTTCTCACTACATTTTGAAAGTTTTCTTACTTTCTCTAGCAATATGCTACTTCAAGCTTATTTTTTACTTTCCTTGCCCCAACCATAGAATCTACCTTTTGTCCAAGAGGCGCTGGCTCCTAGTACTAAAGGTCAGGTGTATTCATAGCTATTGGGGTTTCATTGTTTCTAGATTACTTTGGTGGACAGGCTTGGATATACACATCTATGTTTCTCTATTTATTTCTCTGTATTTTAAGAACTATGGGTTCATATGGGTAATGGTAAATTCTAGTCTTTCCTTCTTCCACCTTTGTAACTCCAATCTCCAACAGTGAGAAACCTAGCTCAGAATAAATACATTTTTAAGAGGCAGAGAGAAATAAGAAAGTTGTTCTGACCTTGAAGAATCTGTGGGACATCCAGGTGGAGACAGGTCTGGATCTGAGTTATTTCTACCAAAGAAAAAAATTGCCTTTAACTTATTGCAATTTACAGAGTGGTATAAATGCTAAGAAGGTTGCAGTTGCAGGATCCACATGGGATTAGAGATTTTATATTCACATATATGCCTTCCATTTTCTTCACAAAGAAATCATCATTTCTGCCTTTATTACTGGAGGGTGGGAAGCCCTCTCTGTGCAAGATACTTGTATTGATGTCAATGACTCCCAGCCCTCAACATTGAGTTATTTAAGATTAACCTCTTATTGGACTATTTGTGGTGTCAACTTTCTGTACCAGAGACCATAGGCTTGACAATAAATCCTATAAAACAAAACTCTCCTAAAAAAAAACCCCAAAACCTCTTCTCCAATAAATTTTGTTAAGGAGTTCATTTGTGAGATCAAATGGTAAAACCTTTTCAAAACATAATTGCAGAGCCTTTGTTCAGGAATCAAGAAATTTATTTTCATGATCTGTCTCTTTCTATAATATTTCTAATTGTGGACAGACATTGCAATGCTAGTCATTGTTGAGCAAGATGAGTTTTTTTTTTTTTTTTTTTTTTTGGTGCTCGGTTGAAGATGACTTGAGTCTGCAAAGACAGGTGCCAGAGTATTAGATGACTGTGATTTATTTTTCAGCATGTGGTGAGAGAAAAATCATTTTAAACTTTTTACTAAAGTGTGTTGAGGGACACAAAATGTTTCCACATTAAACCAATCACTATTTGCTTCTTATTATTATTGGAGAAGGTACACTGAGTGCTAGATGAACACATTCTTGCAGCCTAGGGGTGTGATATTGTGTCAAACAGAAAGAAAATTTTCCTTCTTTCAAGTGAATAGTAATTGCAGAAAATAATGCTTTAGCTGAACCCTTGGTGCAAAGACACAGACTGTTCCTTGCAGAGAACTTAACTTGACCACATGAAAGGTGTCAATATCTGAGCTAGACCTAAAAAATACGTCCAAAGCACGGAAGTTAAACATTCACGTCAGGACTAATGCACCATTTAACTCAAAGGGCAGGGAGGTTGACACATGGCTGGCTCCCGAAATAAATATCTTGTCTACTCAGTGAAGCATATTTTGGTGATAATTTTTCCTTTATGTCTGAATTAGTTTTCTGAGCCAGAGCTGTAATAATCAATGAGTGAAGTGAGCAGAAGGTGGCCCCTGATTCCTTCTCCTATAATCTCCTACTCCCTAAAGCCTAGTGTTCCATTAACAAAGAACTCTAGTTCCATAGTCATTTTGTAATTCAAAAACCAAAGTAACGTAGATAAAGCACTTAACATGGTATGTGTCATATAGAAAATACTCAATGTTTAACTGCAATTATTATTAGTTTGCAGATGTGAATTTAGCTTCATAAAACTGGATTTTAGAAATGTCACATTATTTCCTTAGGAAAAAATTATATTCCACCCTGAGTCTCTGTCTTTGTTCTCTTTCTTGGGCAGGAAATTTACTTCCAGTCATTATTAGACCACTCCCACCCCAACCCCTTGGGCCGAATAGACAAAAGACTAATTGTCTAAGCACATGTGGCTGTTAGGGGACTCTGGTGCCTCTGCTTTGCTTGGTCCTAGGGACTTTGCTGCATACTCTGAGGCCAAAGGCTCAGCTTCCTGAGGGCCAGCACTTAGCTTCTCTCCACTGAGGCCATGCACATTCTGCTTAGAGCTGAGACTCAGTTCCTGAGGGATCCTCAGAACTTGTTCTTGTTTTAGAGATTCCTCTCTCTCCTGCTGCTTTCTTCATTCTTGTTTATTCCTATGTCACATTTGCAAAGGCTCTCTCTCCTTTCACCCTACAGGAGGGTTGCCAGATTTAGCTAAATAAATAAATGAATAACCCCAAACCCAAGCTACTTGGTTAAGTTTTAATTTCCTATTAACAATGAATAATCTTTCAGCATAAGTGTATCCCATGCAACGCTTAAAACAAACTCACACTAAAAAATAATTGTCATTTATCTAAAATTCATATTTACTGGGCATCCTGTATTTTATCTGGCAGCATTACTCTAAGGGTTCCTGCTTTTGAAAGACCCAGGAATGGAAGTTGTGAGTAGGGTTGGGATTTTCAGGCCAAATCTTCATTGAGATAGAGAGAAATACACTCTGCATAGACTTAGAAAGGTACAGGGGAAAACCCAGCATAGACAAAACACAAAATAATGTCCATAAATAATCCTGTTACTCTCATCATCATTATGATCACCATCATCATCACTGTCCATGGTGAGTTGCTGCTAAAGAGTCATTCCCCCTGGGGAAGGCAATATTAATGGATCCTTTCCTGAATAGAGTTTTAATTAAGATGAAGGAGAAAGAGAAACTAGGAGGCACAGGCAGTCTGCAAGCTGAGTCAGTGGAATAGGAAGCAAGAGAATGAGGTTAGGGCCAGAAAGTCCACTTTGCATCTCTCAGTTTCATTGGTTGGCTTGATTTGGGCATTATGGGAGCAAGGACTGGTAGAACTAACACTGGCCTGACTCCATTCAAGTCCCTGCACCACCACACCAGTAAGCTGTGTAGCCTTGGTTGCTTGACTTGTCTCTCCAGCTCAAATCTCTTGTGAGATTCAAACTCACATGTATTCCTGAATGTTTCATAGGTGCCCCAAAGTCAAGATGTGCAAGTGTGAGCTCATCTTCCTCATCTCCTGACCTGGAACTGTTTTTTTGTGTGTGTTCTCTGTATTAATGAAATGACACCACCATCTGCCCAGGTGTCAAGGCAGGATACAAGTCATCCTAGACCTGGCTGCAACATCTTATGCCTGGTGACTGCCAGAGTGGGTCATCTGGCTGGCTAAGCCCACATCTTCTGCCTCCTGGACTACTGCCAATGGTGAGGACCTTTGCAGATACAACAAAACCATCCATACTTTTTCCAGGAGGACATAGTTGTGGTGAGTTGGCCAGAAAGAAAAGGAGATGACTCCTCTGTAAATTTGAAGGAAAAATGGAATTAAATACCCTCCTTCACTTTTATAATGACTTTGTGATAGTCCATTCTAACTCTCTTTTCTTGAAGTGACTTGAATGGGTCTCTGTTCCTGTCTATCAAAATAGGTTAAGAAAAAGAAAATAATTTTACTCTCTTTTTGCTGGTGACATTTTACCAGGAAATGATGAATAAAACTATAGAGTGGCAGGGTACCATCTAGGGGATATTTACACTCTGGGAAACTTCTTGTGCCTTTCAGAACTCAAAAGTACATGTTAGAGCATACCACAATGGCAATCTTCTTCCTAATATCCCAATGAGCAGACAGTTATTTTAAATGAATCCACTGAGATTCGAACCCAACAGAACAACATAAGAAGGCATCTGAAAAGAATTAACCAATTGTCCCTACTCTTGAAATAACCTTCTCTTTCCCAGGAACACAGAGGAAAGAAGCCAAATAATAGGGGAATGGATGAAAAAGCACAATACTACCTCATGGTTCCTGCTTTGAAATGTAGAAAAAAATCATTCATAATCTCTTGTCCTTTTCTAGTGTCTCACCTATAGGAAAAGAATAGGAGAGAAAGTAGGGTCATTAACCATGTATGAAAAATTGTTAAATTTCTGGGAAAAGGAAAAAAAATCTCATCTTAATAATCTCAGAGAAATAGAACCCAAATTAAATCAATTCAGGGTGGTTTTGGGTCATTCCATCCCAGTCAAGGGAAAGGTTCAAAATGGCTTGTTGCAGTAAGGTCAATTTGTTACAAAATCATCCTAGAGGGGAATGTGAGTGTGCACACACAGGCACGTACTCTCTACCCCACCCTACCCCGCACTCCCACTCCATTATATTTTCATATATTTGTGTATATAAAGTGATATGTGTTTAAAATATATATATGTATATATATATAGTATTGGCTCTCAAAATGTGAATTTTTGACGGTTTCCCAACAAAAATTAGATTCAGAATTAAGTTTGGATATTTGGCCAACTGTGCTAGGCATCAAATAAATGTGGTAGGATTTTCAAAGAATTGAATATAGAAAGCAGGAGTTTTTGTTTTTTGAGTTCCACAAAAATCCAGTGTATGTGCCTTATTTGTGTGAGTGCATGTATGATTCTTTCCTTTATGGTTTGTAATCATCTTACTCTATGCCTCTCAGACATTTAGCTAGGAAAATGATCTGTATTTTATCAATGCCATTCCAAGACTGGATTATATCCAGAGCTTGTTGGTATGTTTGATGAAGCAGTACTTTTAAGCAACTGTTATTGAGTGCCTGCTTATGTGCTATATACCTTCTTTATGGTAATACTGCTAGTTCAGTGTTTACCCATTTTTTAGGTAAGGAATGAGATTAAGTTGCTTTCTCAGGATCACATTTGACCTCTAAGTGACTATATTAGAATTCAATTCTATGGTGTCAGACTTGAAAGCCCACAGTCTTTCCATGGCTAATGATGACAATAAGTTGTTAGAAACATGGATCCCAGAGTGAAATGACGTTTGAATCCTGCTTCTATAGCTTTCTAGCTGTAGAAAGCAATTTCTATAGCTTGGCAAATTATATAATCTCTGTGCTTCAGTATCCTTATCTGTGAAATGGGAATAATATAATTGAACTGCTTAATAAGATTGTTGGGAGGATTAAATCATGAAATATGTATCAAATGTTCACCCCACCCATTGTAAGACCCCAATCTATATTAGTCATTGTCACTGTTATTCTATACTTTGGCAAGCGATTGAAGCCTTGACTCTCTTATGGCACACATAGATGCTAGCTTACGAACAATTTGCCCCACTAGTTGGTTCATGGTAAGCAGCAACTATTTGTAAACTAAAACTACAAAATAAGACCCTGGGCTCTCCAGACCAGACAGATCTCTTGTGGCTAATAGAGACAGCCAAAACAAAATAAAAGGAACTGAGAGGCCAAGGCAGGTGAGAGGAGGCCAGTCATGTGCCTTTTTTGTTCCTAGAGAGTGAGACCCACTCCAGACATTCTGTTTGTACCTCTGCACTAAGGTGGTTCTTGTAACTAGAGCTGAGATTCCGTGGGTAGAAAACTCCTCCCTCTGGCCATCTGAGAAGGATGTTCAACAGAGGCTTCTGGCTTCAGGCTTGAAAACTACCCAGTTGAGACTTAGTCATTTTCAACCATTCAAGACAGGACAGGTTTGAATCCTCCATCTACATGAACGGATATGATTGAGGCTAAGGCAGGAACTTCCGCCTGTTTAAGCCAGGTCTCCCTTTGTTCTTTGGAGCGGTTTTTGGTTTGCATGGGAGGCTGTCTCTCCTCAATCTGCAGATTGCTTATAGAAAATAAAACTCTCCCCCTTTCCTTTGCAATCTCATGGTCTTTTGTTAACGTACTCTACCTCTCCTTTCCCCACTTGCTTCTAAGAAGGGTGGGCGGTACCCCAGTGTATGGAAGCACATCAAACTCAGTCAGGATTCCTCCAAATGTGTTTTAGGCTCCAGAGACCTGGCAAGCCCATGTTTACTTTCTAGATTACTTGGAAAAATCTGTGAACCTGGCCACAGTAAAATGGCTTTTCACTTAGAATTACTTCATTCAAAATCATTCATCTTTTTTCCTTTTGGGAAATATAACTTATGTGATTCTAGTGTCCAAAATATACCTTCTCTGAATGCCTCCCACCATAGTGCCTGAGTGAGGGGCTTTCCACCTCAGAATAAGATCATAAAGATGCAGTTATTCTTCTCCATGGAGTTCAGTCTCCCAGGCTCATTTACAAAGTTACTCAGCTGTGACTGGGCCACTTAAATAACCCTATTGCCTAAAGATATCCCTTGCTCCAGCCATTTGCCCCCAAGAACCATGTTCAAGTTACAGAGAAATACAAATACTAGTGCATTCCACACGAGCAGTGTCACAGAGCTATATTTTGTCAGTTGTAAATTATATCTGGTCTTGAGGGAGGGGAGAGAGATCAGCAATTTTATATTCTATAAAAGAATTTCATAAGAAATATTAGACCCTCATAATTCGGAAGTCTCCTATGTTAGTTTTATTTTGTCCTGGCAGATTTTAGAAGCAAACAATTCTCTGGATGCCTAAAAGTAATGCCTGGGTTTCTGTTTTTACATATTTAAGCTATGCATTTAGATACAATTCAAGCATTCCAGGGTGTTAACAGTGTTTACAAAGGAAAGTGCCAGAGGCAAATTCAGGCCATTCTTTAAATTAATAATGCTTTTGTTTGCACTCCCAATTTTTCCTTACAGTTCTGCTAGAACCAACGTGCATCTTTGCCATTTATTCGGAGGATAATGATGACAATTTCCATTTACACATTACATTTCATCTAGAAGGAGCTCTCTCACACTACATCACTGTCTGCCACCTTCTGCCTGGCAACAGAAAATGCAAACTGTATCATCACAGTCATTGGTCAGTGGGGAGCAGAGAAACCCCAAAGCAAACACAGCACCAGAGACTGAAAGAAAGCAAGGAGGACTGGAAGTAAACTTGACCATTGCCATGTTTGCTTAGAAGATGGGGGCACAGGGAGCATAGGGTCTGCCAGTGACCACACTGCATCCCTGTAGGATTTAGAAGGATTGTGCAGCTAGTGGTTGGAACTACACAGAGGCACATTTAAGTTCTTGACCTATTGCTTCCTAGTCAGCTGCTTTTAGGCAAATCATCTGATATCTTTGAGGCTTGGTTTTTGTATCTGTCAAAGGGGAAGAATAATTCCCACTTCCCAAAGTTGTATATGTTGAGTACATAGAAGTAAAGTATGTTATAAGGGTTTAGTAAATGGTCTCCAGTATTTACCATTCTTGATTATTAATAGGGTTGCTATAGTTACTGCCACTGCTGCCTAAACAATTGGACCTGACAGATGTTTCAGCCTAATGAGGGTCCCTCCCTGCTCTTCTTCATCTGCCTGATCTTCAGTTCCCACCAAGAAATCTTGTGGTTTGCACAAAAGAGGGAGAGGTGTTATCACTCAAGGCCCAGATTATAATGCCTTCTTATGGAACAAGGAGAACATCTGGTATTCACTTAGCATGGGCTCTAACACAAATATTTTAGACAGTAATCCTTAAATTTTAGCGTGCATAAACATTATCTGGAGGGCTTTTAAAAATATAGATCACAAGGTCCTGCTCTAGTTTCTGATATAGGAAGTTTGGGGACCAAATAATTTGCATTTCTAAGAAATTCCCAAATAATGCTGATGGTGCTGGTCTGAGAGCCACTGCATATTGTGTAGCTAATTATCACCTTGGAAGTCACCGAGAGCCTAATCTTCCGAGGGTGTTTTATACTGGGGGCCAGAGAATCCAGAAGATACTAGGAGCATAAAGGTGAAGTCAGGGATAGGTTGAGCACCTGCAGAAGATGAAGACTGGAGTGCAGGGCAGGTGTCAAGACCCTGCGGCACCTATTTCACAGTTGAGTTGTGTCTGCTCCTTGCTTGGCTCAGGGTTTCTCTCCTTTCTCCCCTTCCTCCTGGCTTCTGCTTTCTGTACAACTCTTACACCTGTGGGTTTCTTCTTCTTTCTACTGAGTCATATCCAAATTGGCCTTGAGAAATAAAAATAAAATCCTAAGTCCCCTAGCTGATGGAACTGACCACCCCTTGGCCAAGAGGACCCAAGAGATGCCTTGAAAACTGAGTTCCTGGCCATGATGGAATGGGAGGTAAGACAAATCTTGTTATACCCCCTCCCTTGCTAAGCACCATTTCCTAGTAGGTACAAAGAAACCAGCCCTTTCAAAAAACTTACTCCACTGCTGACTTCTGGAGCTACTGAGGGAAGCTGATGCTGGTCCTGGTACCAGACTTTGAGAACTGCTGATTTATTCCTATCTTTCTATAAAGAGAATTATAGCCTTGGGCTTTTCTAGCTGATGGTGTTCTCAGCTTTTGGTAACCAGCACTAGTGCTTAAGTAAAACACTGAACCTACTCATTGAGCTTCTGCTCCTCCAGGGTCTGCATCAGCTCAGCAAGCTGAGGCCCAACTAATTTGTCTTCATGAACTGCCAGCCTTGCTCAAACTTTTCCAACAGCTGCTTCTTCGTAGGCTTCACTTGGCTTCTACAGCAAATGAAACCTGCCCAGCCCCAAAAGATTCTAATTAACTCTCTCAGGGTCAACTCCCTGAGTGAATGGCTTGAAAATCTCAGCATGCTTGCAATGCTTTATTTATTTAAAGATTCCAAACTCTTCTACCCTGCATGCCTATGTTAAACAAGGATAGCCCCCAAAACAATCCTGAATGAAAGAAATGTTTCGTTATACCATGAGTTGTTCTTCTGTTCTCTGACTCTTTCTATGTCCCTTTAAGTCTCACAGATGGCTAATATTTCCTGATTTTAATTTTGGCAAAGGCCCTTCTTAAACATATTTTGATGATGGCAGTAGAAAATAAAAATTAACTATAAGACTGCTGTCCTGGTCTGTCATTAAGAGCTTTTCCTTCTTTTGGAAGGATTAGTAGAGTATGAATCATTTCAAAGGGTTAATTCCCTTCCTTCCTTCCTTCCTTCCTTCCTTCCTTCCTTCCTTCCTTCCTTCCTTCCTTCCTTCCTTCCTTCCTTCCTTCCTTCCTTCCTTCCTTCCTTCCTTCCTCCTTCCTCTTTCTTTCTCTCTACCTCCCTCCCTTGCTCCCTCACTCCCTTCTCCCCACCTCTGCCCCTTTTTTTTATCCTTAAGCCTAATCCTTCCAGTCTCTGTTGTTTGCAGTTTTGAATTTCCTGCCACAAAATCGATGTGGTTACTGCATTCACTGTAATGAATATACGTGCTCTCTTCATGCCCTCCAGACATGTGAAGGCTGTTGTACCTTTAGTTCCCTGTACGATTGAGTGACTTGGCCACACAGTGATAGGGCCTAAGAATGGATTCCTCAAAGTACTCCTCAGACATTGATCAAAACGCAAAGGAGAGGGGAGGGGAGAGAGCAACAGAGGAAAATAAAGTGTCAGTGCTCCTTTGTGCTATATTGAAGTCAAGGCTGACTTCATCGTGTCACTCAGAGGAGGAGGTGAGGATTCCAAAGAGGAGAGATGATTAAGAGGGAAATGCAAAGAAGGATGAGCTTGAACAAGAAAAAAACCCCACACCACCCATTATGATGAAATCAAGTAGTTAGCAAGAAAATGAATGAGTGATTTGACAGTGAAACTTACTTTATATCAGGCAGAAGACTAGGTTCAAGAGTACTTCTAGTTTCAGGTATCACTCATTATGTGCTATATTGGCTTGTTCTCTTAAGCCGAGTTTATGAAATAAATTACTTAGAGTCTAACTTTCTGATTGACCTCATTGAAATTATTTTATAATGTCATTTTATAACAAATATATTTAAATATATGACGTAAATTTGTTTAATATGTTTAAATATATTTAATATATTTAAATATATGACATAAATATATTAAATATACAATATACATTAAATATATTATATAACTATTAAACATATTTATATAATATATTGTTATAATTGTATTATATTACATGTAATTTATTTCATGTAAATATATACATTTTGTAAATATATTTGAATATATATGATATAAATATGCTCACTGATCATTCTAAGTTATATAAATCATTTAATGAGTGAGGTGAAGACTTTTGATGAGTAAGGGGTCAAATTGATAGCTAATGTTATGGCATGCTGGGTATTTTAGAGAATTGGATGGGATTTTACATTTCACATTTTCCTTGCTTTTGTTCCTACAATCTGATCCCTTAACCATGGATCCTTTCTTTCTGTCTGCCCTTGGTGGAAGTAAGAAGTATTTATTTCATAATTAGTAATCACTTGTTTTCATATTTACAATGCTCAAATTTAATCTTCTTATCTTTTGTTTAATCTGACTGTAGAATTTTTTTTTTATTAATTTGGATTTCACAAATTTGGA